GTTAGTTAGGGGTCGTTAAAATTAGTTAGAGATCACTAGAGTTAGCCAGGGATTGTTAGAATTAGTTAGGGGTCACCAGAGTTGGTTGGGCAGGGATCACTGGAGTTAGCCAAGGATCACTAGAGTTAGTTAGCCGAGGATCACTGTAGTTAGTTAGCCAGGGATCACTAAAATTAGCTGAGGATCACTAGGGTTAGTTAGGCAGGGATCACTGGAGTTAGTTAGCTGAGGATCACTATGGTTAGTTAGCCAGGAATCACTAGAGTTAGCCAGGGATCACTGTAGTTAGCCGAGGATCACTAGGGTTAGTTAGCCAGGGATCACTGGAGTTAGCTGAGGATCACCAGAGTTGGTTAGGCGGGGATCACTGGAGTTAGCCGAGGATCACTAGGGTTGGTTAGCCAGGGATCAGCAGTTAGTTAGCCAGGACATGCGTGCTGGGGGATCACAGCTTGTGTTTGGCCTGGCTGGGCCCAGCAGGGGCCCTGACATGGCAGTTCCTGGCTGCCCCGCTGCTCCGCCAGCACGGGGAGCAGAAGGCCGAGGCCGTGCGTTCCCGGCGGGACAGGTTCCCTCTCTGCGGCTGTATCCCCAGCCCTTCCTGGCACAGCGCAGCAGCGAGGGCTGGGCATGCAGCCCGACCCTCTGCTCTGCTGCACCGTCTGCTGCTGGAGCCGGAGGTGGGGGTTAACTCGTCTGACATGTAGCGTTTTTGCTACGTTAGGCACTGGGAATTACTGGGGACACTTTACTTGACTGGGTTAAATATTTTTCCACTTTGGGCCATGTGTTTGCATAATAAAGATCAGTAAGTCACATCTTCTTGTCTTTCCCTCTACACCGACAGCCTAATGTCCTTGGTACCTGGCCGTCGCTTCCTAATGTACATCAACATATGCTGATATACAGCGAGGCTGATCTTTGACTCGCCTTTGAAATAGCGACACATTTTCTCAACAACAAATTATACTTTGACATTAGAAGGTGGCAATCTGTAATGGATATTGCAATCTGAAGATTCAAAGAGACTATCTGTGATCTTTGTCCTCAGCCGAGTAAGCTGGAGCCTCTCTTCCCTCCTACACGTTATTTGATTGTGGTACGTAACCTTGGGATGTACTAATAATCATTAGTCAGAGCTGATGTATCCTTTATGGGCCTGCCCTGCTCAGGAAGGGAGACGTTCTCTAGAACAGCAGTTAATCAGTGAAACATGCACTTAAATATACAGTAAAATGTGGTTTGAGACATGATCCTTCATACATCATATAACAAAACGCTTTGCTGAGAGTCACACAGGAACTAAAGAGAAAAGAGGGCTGCTGCAACAAGACCTGAGAAGGGGAAATGATGCGGTGGCAGGAGGGAGACGGGAGAGATCCCTGAGTAGCTTGTGGTCCAACAGCTGTCATGACTCCCCAGGCCCTTCTCTGCCCTCTCGTAGGTGATGTGGTGCCTTTGACAGGATAGAGGGGAGAGGAAAGAAAGGAAAGGAGCCCTGCAGAGCTGTCCAGACACGATGGCTTTCAGACTGAGCTTTGAGACCATGGCCGGGGCACTAGAGTGGCCTGACTTGCCAGGAGGAATGAGGGGGCTGTTCTGCTCCTCACCAGCTGGGCACTGTGTGTCACTACTTGGTCCTTGGTTTTTGCTGGTAAGCAGCTGTCTTTTTACAACTGAATATTGCAGGAATAGTTAGAGCATCTCCTCATCTTTTTACAGGTATTTCTCGTTGTTATTTAAATCTAAGTGAATAAATAACACATGTCTGCAGCTCTAGCAAGGAGGAACCTGATGAAGTTCAGTCAGGGTTAGGAAGATGATTAAGGGGCTGGAGTATCTTTCTTATGAGAATAGACTGAGAGAGCTTGGTCAGTTTAGCCTAGACAAGAGTAGACTGAGAGGGGACCTTATAAATGTTTGTGTATCTAGAGGGCGGGTGTCAAGAGGATGAGGCCAGACTCTTTTCAGTGGTGGCCAGCGATAGGACAAGGGGCAACCAACACAAGCTGGAACACAGGAGGTTCCGCTTAAACATTAGGAAAAAATTCTTTACTGTGAGGGTGATGGAGCACTGGAACAGGCTGCCCAGAGAGGTTGTGGAGTCTCCTTCTCTGGAGATATTCAAAACCTGCCTGGATGCAGTCCTGTGCAACTTGCTCCAGGTGAACCTGCTTTGGCAGGGGGGTTGGACTAGATGATCTCCAGAGGTCCCTACCAACCTCTACCATTCTGTGAGGAACTGAGGTTCCCCAGCTCCTGCAGAACATCTGTGACCAACACAGTCATGCACCTAGAGAGGGAAACAAGGTAAGTAAGTTTTTCACTTGTCCCTCTGGTAAATATTAGAATGGTTTGTGCCTTTCTTTTCCTAATTCTGTCATTTTTTTCTCCTAAATCTGTTCCAAACGTGAGCACAGATTAATTCCCATGCAAGGCGAGTCACTTAAGAATGGAGGTATTTGAATGGTTTGCCTTTTAATAAATTAATCAGTGCTCATGTTTTTAACAGCCTTAAGAAGAGATAAAACCTCCATCCCTCTTGTCATGGCAACTACAATAAATGAAATGTTATTCAGAAGTCAAGAAAAAAAAAACACAAGCACTTTAGGTCTCAGCCAAGTCCACAAAGTAGCAAAACTCATTAATAATTCAAAGGAGCTGTGTCCCTCAGAGCTCACCATTACTGGTTTTACTGCTAATAATACTGGAGCTGCATAAATTTAACAGAAGGCAGAGGTTGGTAGAAGGCAGGGTGGTATTGAAGTGCGGTTATCCTAATCAAACGTTGTCCTGAGGCCTTCACTTGCTCTGGTCGGCCTGGCAAGAAGTGGTGCTGGGTCATGGGGAAGGCGCTGGGGAGAGGAAGGTTATGGTTTTAAGGTTCTACCAGTCTGGTAACATTAAACCTAGAGAGATAGTGGAAGAGGCCATAGGTACTTGTAATTTATTCATAAACAGCTATGCCATCATAAGAAACTTTTTTAAATAATATGTGATAGTTCTTTAAATATTTAAGAGTTTGTTGACCTATTTTCTCAGTTAATTAGGGGGTTTTTTTGGCTGCATTAACAATGACTTGAACACAGTCTGCTTTAGTCACGCCACAGTTCAGCTACACTGGGTTACAGAAACATGGTTTCTTTCTAAAGCACATGACATAGGAGAGGAACATCATTGTAAGTGTCTAGACTTGTACGTAAAAACCTGTAGACTTCCTCGTAGGCAGTGCTCAAGCTCAACTTACCAAACACAAACCATTTACCTCTTGAGTCCTAAAACAAATGTCTTCTGAATTACAGCACTACCCTTGATTACTCTGCAGCGGAGGGGCTGTGGTGTGGCCACCCTTCTCTTCAGACTGCAATAGTTAAGACCATCAAGCTCATCTCTGCAAGCTGCACTTGTGAGTACACTTCTTTTCTTACTCATTTATTTTGGCCAAAGCTCTTTAGGCCTAGAAATTAACTCAATGGAAATTTGTGTAGTGCAAAGCATCATGTCACTAATCACTATACAGTAGTGTGGTCAGAAACCAGCTCTTTCTGAACGCTAATAAAAGGTGCTATTAGCAGAAGATGCACTTTGTTCATCACACTGCAGGGGTTTGCATGGGAGAACTCATTTATGTCCCACTTGTCTCCTCTGAAGTCAATGGCAAGGGAAGGGAAGACTTGAGAGCAGAGCTTTGACTGGCTATCAAGCATGAAGATGGCCAGCTGGTTGGAGACTGCTATGGGGCCCTGCTGATAGAGGGGAACTTGTCACCAGGAAGGATTCTGTCAGCCGTCAGGGTCTCATCAGTGTCTGCTTAGCTCAGGGGGGGATTGCTGCAGGCTGAGAAATAAGGTGCAGCACCAAAGTTTAAAGTTTACACAGCTTGGGGACCATCTGAGCCCCTCCACCCTAGAAAAGGAGCCCAGAAGGGGTGATTCCTGTTCTCTGAGAGGCTCTAAAATGTACATCTCAAGAGGATCAATATCAGGACTATTTCTGTCTCTTTCAAAGCTGCAGTAAAACAAACCTTTACCCTTGCTGTCATCACCTCTCCTTCTTAGAAGCTGTCAAGGACCTTCATGTTTTCCAAGGGTTGTTTTAGTGGCCTCCTGCAGAAAACCACACAGTTGGAGAGAAGTTTGCACAAACTCAGAGTACAAGGATGCTGATAACTTTCCACGCAGCCTCAGCTGGGGAATCTCCAAAGTGACCCGGGAAGGATATTTTTCAGTGCTTGTTTCTGCAGAGTGTTACTGAGCTGACTGGAAGTAAAAAAAAACAAGTAAATGCTGGCTGTCGGGCTTCAACAAGCTTCCTCATCAGGTGCAAATGGACAGGAAAGGTTTTCTTCCATTTGCACCTGATGAGGAGGCATGTTTCTCCCCCAAAAGCTGGTGTCTGCCGCCCTGTGTTTTGTTACCATAGATCAATTCAGCGTTCTTTGGATCAATGTTCTCCACTAATGAGTTGTTGCTTTTTATTTTCCAATTGAAACTTAAAATCTGCCACCAAATATTTTGTCATCTAAGAGATACCAAGTGCACAGAATCAAACCTGTAAGCTCCTGAATGAGAACAGTTGGGTTGATATCAGGGGTTTCTAGTTCCTAGAAAGAAATATAACACTAGAAACCTTTGCTGAGATTAAACAGGAGACAATGCTACCATGCAGAGAAAGAATTTCTATTTTTGGCTATACCCTTAAGGCAACAGAGGAAGCGTATGTCATGGCTGCAGCGACAGCTAATGAGCAGATATACAATATTAATTGTGGTAAGTGTAACGCACTGAACAATCTATCAACTTCTATTTCTTTAGCAGCTGTAACTCAGATATTTTCAGCTAACACCTCTGCCTGTACTGGCTGCTTCGAGTTTGTTTACCTACATGGCAGCACAGAGCGGTACCACCCCACCGCTTCCCATAAGCTGTGGTGTGCAGCCCAGCCCAGGCTATTTTCACCTACACCAGCCGCTGTAGCACTGCTTTCGGTGTTGCAGATGTTCATATGGTTGTCTTCTTCCCACTGCTTGAGGGGCTGACCCAGTTGTACTCAGCTTGCACCAGCACAAAGCTGTTCTCCCGGATCTTTCGGAAGTGCATCACCTCCCCGTTTTGCCTGATGGCGATGACGTTGGGGTCCGGCTCGCTGAAGGAGACCTCCGTCCGCTTCTGGCAATGCTGGGCACAGGCACAGCGCACGGCAGCCACAAGCGCCAGGCCCAGGGCAGCCGAGCAGACCAGGAGGATGCCGATTTGGGCTGCTAGGAGTCGGGTCCCTCTGCCAGGGTCTTCCCCCTTGCCAGGAACAGCAGATCTGGGAGCTGGTCTGGTCACCCATGGCAGAGTATTCCCGCCCTCCTCTTCCTCCTCGCCCCTGGTGCCTGCCTCCTCTGGCTGTGGTGCCAGCTTTCTTTCTGCCATTTGACTTGAAGGTGATGACAAATTGCCAGCAGCATCTGCATCACCAAACCAGGCTGTTGTCACAATGGCATCACCCAGGTAAGTGTGTACATGCACGGCAGAAGGAGACACTGTCACATGTGGGGAGGTTTCCAAGATGGCCCCACTCTCGGTACTGGCCTTTGAAAGCAAAAACACGATGAGATGTGTGGTGAGGGAAGAGAAAGGGAGCTGATTAGGTTCTCATCCACTACTGTTGTCACAGTACAGTCCAGCTCTGTATTTCTGACACCCAGGTGTCCCCCTTCCCTTGGAATAACCCTGCTCCATCCCCTGGTTACTCAGTAGCTTTTAGGAAAGGAGGCAGATTCCACCCCTCTCCATCTGTATCAGAATTACCATGGGAGGGACAAGGCACTGGGAGCTGGTCCCAGGGGGGACAAGGCAGAGCGGGTGGAAGGGGCAGAGAGTAAGCTCACTGCTTTGCATAAGTAAGGGTCTGCAACTCCCATTGTGGTGATGGTGGTTTTCGCAGGCATCACAAAAAAAATCACTTAATAAACAATTCCCATCTTGTGTGATGCCAGGGTTATGCTGAAAGGACAGACTTGGGGTGGCCTTTGACATCAGTGGTTTTGGGAAAGTTGTCTGTAACCTGTGAACTCTCATCAAAGCCTGTTTTGCTTTCTCAGTCTACACAGCCAGTTTGAAAATGGCTACCTTCTCAGTGGTACTTAACCACCCATTTTAGTGGGAATGACTGTGCTTCCATGCTCCTGTTCCTAGGGGCTCTGCCTGGTGCTGTGCACCTTATTTTGTCCATCACAAAATGACAGCCACTCCATGCCAGTTCTGCAGCCCAGGCTTTGCTGTAGATACCATCCAAGACTAACTGTGCAACGATCGTACAATTTAGGAGGCCCCCACTGCATTTTTCCATTCCCACTGTGCACCTGAGCCCCCATCCAAAACCTACAAAATGTGCTGGAGTCTTTTCTTTGGCTTCACTGAGATTTGGATGTGGCCCTCAGTAGCTGGCGCCTCTTCAGCCTGCCCAGCCCAGCGGGCTTTTTCACACATCCATTAATTACACCACAGAAACTCTCACCCTCTACCATCATTATCAGTTTCTAAAGCTTGCTGGGAAGACAGTGTGACAGGAGCACAAAGCTGAGGTAGGAGCCCTGGCAAGCTGTGAACCAAAGTAGGGGAGGGTCAGAGCATCCTTTGTAGAAGAGACCATTTCTGAAGGTGCTGGTAAAATACAGTAGTAAATAAAAGACTTTCAATGGCTGAACTGCAAACTGTAAAGCAGCTGGCTGGCAAAGTTAGGACTGCAAGTCCTTGCCCTATCTCACCTCGTTTCTCCTTTCTTTTTGTACTCTCTCCTTTCTTGTCTAATTTCTCGATGTTGTTACTTCATTAGGCTCTCATCTTGCCTTGTGCAATAATTCTTCCTTTCCTTTGGTTACCATCGTCTGTCATTTCTCTGCTTTCCTTCATGGCTATGCCAGATGCTCACGGTACACTTCTCTCCTGTACTTGTTCTCTGTCCTCTGCTCCTTCCTAAATATTACTGCCTCATTCTTAGCTGTACAGCCCCTTTCTCTTATTTTTTGTGAGAATACTTCTCTTCCTCCTGTGGCATCCTGCAACCCAGATCTAGTTCTTTATTTTCCTTGTGTTTTCCTATTCTCCATCCCCTGCATATTGGACTTCCCCTGCTAACTCTGTATCCTGTGTCTCTAAGCTATCCCTGCTTTCCAGCTTCTCCGCTAGTTCCCATCTGAGCATCTCCCTTATGTTTCCACAGCCCTGGTGTTCTCCAGTTTCTCTCCCTCCTCTTGCTCTCCTTTTCTTTTTCTACCTAATTGTCCTGGTTCCTCACATGCCTTTTCCAGTTCCTGTATCTCCTGTACATACAGCCACCCCGCTGCCTTGAGGCTGTGGTCCTTTCACTCCTTTCTGGGCTTCCTCTCCTGAGGCCACCCTTTCCCAAAAGGTGCTCCCACCTGCTCATCCCATCTGACAGCTCTTACTCTTCCAGCTGTCTCCAGTGAGAGCACCCCACACCTGCAGCTAACCCCACCACCACCACTACCATCATCACCACCTCTGCCTTTCTGGTCCATCCAGCTTCTCAGGCTGACCTTGCCCTCATAAAGCACATGGCTTCCTTGGCCATCCCCAGGAAAGGTGAAGCCTTTGACCTCTGATGAATGTCATGGGTGGTACATATCCAGCACCTCTGGAAAGGAACATCTCAGCCTTCCATGGAAATAAAACACATTTTTCCAGCCCAGAAACATCTAGCAGCCTATAGTCATGTCTACATACCGAAAAGTTATTTTATATTGGTTTTACAGTGGGAGTCTTAAAAACCCAGGCAGTGAGCTCAAAAGGAAAACAAAAAAAAAGAGATATAAAAACCAATTTCCAGTTAAAGTAAAAAATTTAAAACCGTTAACAATTTAAATATAGTTTTAGTCACTTATGAGACCTATGCGGGCTGCTTGGTGCTGTGATGCAGTTAGAGAGGTTTTATCCTCATCTTCTCTTAGACCTTTCTGTCTTTGGAGAAGACATCCTACCTGTCCCTGCTGCTTACCTGCCTGTCTTCTTTACAGGTCAAACACAGGCGTGGGGTGGCAGCGCTGGCAATGCTTCCTGCGCTAAGGTACAGACAGAGGAGAGGCAGGGTTAGTCAGTGGGACCTGTCACTGCGGCTCGTGCAGGAATCCCTGGGCTCTGCACCACCAGAGACGTGTGCCGCTCCCAAGAGCCTCCTTGGGACATACACAGCCAATGCAGACCCTACAGGGCTGTTATCTGAATAACACCTGATCATTTATTCCTATCCCCATTGCTTTCACCCAGAGTACATGAATGCTCATGTGGCCCAAACCCTCTAAGACTTCTGAGCAGGTGTCCTCAACCCCAAATTTCATAATTGCTTTGAATCCTTTCTTTGTTTTCTCTGCAGATAGGGAAATAGTTCTGCTGAGTTCACCGTTTCATTGCATATTTCCATGTGCTTTTAGAAAAAGATTGTAGCAGTCAATAGTTTTTCTCACATTTTTCAGCTACTTGGCCAGTCCTCTGCTGGGCTGAGCAGCGCAGTGTTGGGTTTTTAAGAGTTTTGGATTTTGTCCCTATCACTGTCATGCGCAATCTCCAAAGGATTATTTCTCAAAATTTCAGTAAGCAAACGCCCTCTTGCCTCCCCTCCAACCGCAGACACTTTCTTATACAAGCCCTCACTTATCCCCAGAGAGATTAGTACTATTTTCCTTCCCCAGAAGACTGGAGAAATAGCTCTTTCCACCGCCCAGTTTACCCATCAGAGGTGCCGTAGCTGGAGGCGTCATCCCAGGAGAGGAAACCTCGCAAGGTGTTTGCCGTGACGGGGTCTCGGGTGGGGAGGGACGGCTCCAGCCCGTGGCCACTGGACCCGCCGCTTGCACCAGCTGCAGCCCGCGAAGGCCAGGCCGGCTGCCTCAGCTCAGCAATGGGATGGGTGTCTGACCCAACACCAAAACTCGGCTCCGGTGCCAGTGTTGCTGCGATGCCGGTGGGGCTGGCAGGCAGCGCGGGGGTGTGCAGGGGGGAGCCGGTGGCAGCCGCTGGAGAGGTTGGACCTTGTCCAGCACGGAGACAAAACAAGAAACGGGGGAGAGAGGAGCAGATGTCTATTGTCTTCAGTTTGTTTATTTCAAATCCCACTCGGTGCTAACATTTGCCAGGAAGGATCGTAATGGTGACTTGGTTTTTATTTTCATGCCACTTAATTTTAAATGTTTCCATTTGTGGGAACACAAATGGAAAGTAAAGTAGCAAAGCCTGCTGCCTAAATTATCAACAAGTAAAATAACTACAACTCAGTCTTGGTGCTGTGCCAAAAATGCTGAGAAACACATCTGATTTGGGTATAAGTAAATTCTTGGAGCATTTTACTGACTAAAGACTGCATAAATGCGACTGAATACATACCTGAAGGGCAATAGTCACATTAGAAACAGATGTGCTCCTTTATTTAGACAGCACTGTTAATTGCACTTGCTTGTCTTCAGGAGCTGAGCTTTTAGGTAAAGTAAGCTGTACTTTAGGGTTTGCATTGAAATCACAAGATCTGGCAAGCTTGTTTATGTTTCTGGTACCCTTCTGAGCACTGGCTCCGTCACCTCAAAGGCTGACCCATGCCCTCACTTCAGGGAGTTCCTCGTGGCCACCGCTGATCTCCCTGAGGGTGACAGGAGTTAAACGGGTTCCTCCAGCTTCTTTGGGTCACTTGTGTTCAACACTTGTCCAGAATAAGATGTAAAACTACTCTGTGGGAAGGGGTTGGTAAGAAACCCGTACCTTTGGTCACCGTACCTGCGGGGAGTGGGTCGGCTGGTCCCTGTGAAGGCACGAGAGTGACAGGGTCGGGCTTCTCGCTGCTGCCAGCAAGCATTTTGTTTTGCTGTTGCTGAGCCACAATAGCAGATTCGATCTTTGCCCAGTAAACAAAGTATGACTGGACTATTGAGATGCTGTAAAACATAATTAGGAAAGAATTTACTGGCTCTGTAGCATTAATACAACATCTGACTATTCCGTTAATCACAAGGACTGCTTTAATCCCAAAACAGAAACGACTCAAAATTATTTTAAAGGATTACCCCATCACACATTTTGTATTACAAATAAAATATACCAGGTCCCATAAGAAAGATACGGGGTAAAGAATCACCACTTGTAATTAAGATCAGCCAAAAAATGTGTGGGAACTTAAATTAAAAAAAAAGAAAAAGCTATTACATTTGATGTGTTGATGGAAGTACATTTGGAAAACTTGGACTAGCTCTGCTTATAATCTTCCGTAGGCAGGGAAACAACAGTGGTATTTACTAATTAAAACAAGTCAATGTAACTTGTACAAACAGCAGAATAGGTAGAGGAAAAAAAGTCTCTCTTCTCAGCCCTCTGATATTTGAGCCCGCCTAACCCTCTGCTTTTTGTCAGGTGCCAAAACCGCATTGGCCAACCTTTAACAATTCAGCCGGAGAGCCTTATTTAAACTGGAGATTTTGGGGAGAATTTCATCTCAGATTGCTCAGCTGCTTCTGAGAATTAGCTAAGGGGAAACCAACCCAGGTTTTCCTGTGCCAGATGACTCCTAGGAGGCATTATTAAGCCTAATGAGGAGTTTTTCCAGATTCTGTGATAGGAGAAAAGGAAGAGGCTATCAGAAATCAGCTTGGAGGGTCAAAAGCCAGAGGGTGAAGGAAGCATCAGAGTGGGTGGCTAGGAACAGGTGTTGGTGGTCCTGGGTTTGCGTTGGGTTTATTCGGTTGATTGAGTTCTATGTGGTTTTAATAGTATTTCCCGATCTAAAACCACAGGCAAAATTTGAAATGTTAAGCAGCAATATTTTTGTTTCAATTAAATTGTGTTCAATCATGATGAGGATGCACAAGCCACGGTGCTCACCAGGTTGCTTATGTTTTGGGGAGCAGCCAAGGATGTGGCCAAGCAGCTTCTAAGCAGTTTTGTAAAGTCAAAACATAACTCTAATCTCTTCCAAAATGAAAAGTTGTTCTGCTTCCTCTAAGACAACCAGTTAGAAAATGTTTAATTTCATTCCAAATCAGAACAAAAATACTTGGACAGTTTGGGACTTTGGTGCAGACCAGGGATGTAAAATTTTGTCCCAGTGCTCACTCTCTCTTTCTACTATGAATAGTTCTGTACACATTTAACTTTTTTAGAAACCACTCATTTTCAATTATTTTTTTAAAAAGGTGTGATACTAAATATTATCCTGTAGGCAGGGAAGTCCTATGGGCTGTGTTATTTAGAAAGACAGGCCATGTGATCCCAGTTCTCTCTTTATGCCTTAATATATCTATTTCCTAAGTGCTTAGGCCGTCATCTTCCAGTGTATTTATTCAGAGAAAATGGTGACCATGTAAATAAAAAGCAGCAGTACCTAGCAGATATAAATGGTGATTAATGTACCAGCTGCGATACTGTTGCAGCATTTGATAAGTATTTAGCTGTATGTCCACTACACTGGACAAGTATGATGGAAAAATGAAGCCAAGCCTTTAACTGAGAAGACACAAATTCTGTTTAGGAACCATCATGATCTTACAAAAACTTGATGTCTCCAATGGGTTGGTCTGGTGCTTTCCATACAAAGGACAGATTTCTCTTCAGTGACTTGTCTGAGTGGGTGACGGTGTCACCATCTTCAGAACAAGTCAGCAGCTTGGAACCAGGAGGAATGAAGACAAATGTGCCAGTGATTTCGTCGTTAGACACTTTGCGAGCTTGAAGTAAAAAGCCCATAAAATCCTGTGTGCTCCTCACTGTCACTGCAAGACAAAACATGGGACACAAAGGGATTTGCCTTGTACTTATGGCAGTAATAGAGTTTCCAGTGAAACCAAAAGAAAACCCTGTGCAACAACAACAACAAAACCTTACTGTCTTTGCCCTCAGTGTCTGTCTTGGCCATCCTGGATGCAGGAGGGCAGATTTAACTTTGTAGTATGTAATTGCACACAAAATTTGCTTGGGTCTTTTCCCCTCCTTGATTATAACCTGCTAACCACTTTGCACTAGGCAGTGTGCAGCTATTTTTAAGGAAAGTTTAGTACCAGCCTGTATGGATGCAAAAGCTTGTGTGCTGCCCTCGGAGGGGTTTTATTTTGCATGGGGATGAGCAGGCAAGCGGCCAGGCTGGGTGCCTCTCAGCTCTGCATCTGCTTCAGGAGCGGCGATGCTGGGGATGGGGCATGCTGCCCAACCATACCTGACAGTCAAGTGAGTCACCCAGACCCCTTCACGCAGTGCAGAGGAGCAGGGAAGGCAACTTCACCCTCTGGAGGTGCCTCTCATGCCATTGCATGTGATAAGGTCTGATATGGTTGAGACACAATTGAGATAAATGAATCCCACCCAAAGCCTCCCAGCTGCCTCTGGCAAACAGTTGGTCTGAAAATCTGGAGTCAACCTGAGAAACTTTAGGCAAAGTGCTGCAAACAGAATCCCTCTGTAAACATGCTTGTTTCCTCATGATAAGAGAGGTGGCATAGCTCACTCAGAGCAGTTATCCCTCTTCCCAAGTCTCACAAAGGTTAATGCCATCACTTGAGATTAGTTACCATCTATTTTTCAGATAGATGAATGAGAAGCTGTTCCTTACCTGTAACCTTGTCACCTGGGAAGAAGAAGGACACGTTGGTGTGGACAGCAAAGTAGTTGTTGCTGGGACTGTGCAGCTGCACTCTCAGGTGCTTGGGCATCATGTCAGTACAGGCAGAAAGGCTGGCGCCGTGCGAGAAGGCAGCTGCATAGGAGGCCAAGCACAGGGTTGTGCATGCCCAGCCAGCAATGGCAATGGGGGCTCTCCTGCCGTCCTCCATCCTACGGCCGAAAACAACGGGCAGGTTCGCTTCAAAGCAGTGGCTTCAGCAGCCTGGGAACCCCTCTGGCACCTTTGAATTAGCTGAGCTGCAGAGCCACCCTTCTCACAGCCTTTAAATGAAGAAGAACAAATCATCTCTGTGGCACATGGAGCCACTTCAGTAATCCACAGCATCTCACATTTTGAGTAAACTGTTGAGGCTGGGAGGGGAGAGGGCCCGCAACAGGACACATTTCTTGTGAAGCCTCCCATGGAGGGAGAGGTCAGGGAATCACACAGGATCACAGAATGGCAGGGGTTGGCAGAGACCTCTGGAGATCATCTAGTCTAACCCCTCTACCAAAGCAGATACATCTGGAGCAGGTTGCACAGGATGACATCCAGGCGGGTTTTGAGTATCACTAGAGGAGACTCCACAACCTCCCTGGGCAGCCTGTCCCAGTGCTCTGGCACCCTCACAGTAAAGAAGTTTTTCCTCATGTTTAAGCAGAACTTCCTGTGTTCCAGCTTGTGCCTTTTGCCCCTTGTCCTGTCTCTGAGCAACACTGACAAGAGTCTGGCCCCATCCTCTTGGCACCTGCCCTTTAAGTATTTACAAGCATTGGTAAGATCTCCTCTCAGCCTTTTCTTCTCCAGGCTAAACAGACGCAGGTCTCTCAGTCTTTCCTCATACAAAAGATGCTCCAGTCTCCTTATCATCTTTGTAGCCCTCCACTGGACTCTCTCCAGTAGTTCCTGGTCTTTCTTGAACAGAGGAGCCCAGAACTGGACACAGTACTGCAGATGTGGCCTCACTAGGGCAGAGTAGAGAGGGAGAATAACTTCCCTTGACCTACTGGCCACGTTCTTCTTACTGCACCCCAGGATACCATTGGCCATGAGGGCACATTGCTGGCTCATGGTTAACCTGCTGTCCACCAGGACTCCCAGGTCCTTCTCCACAGAGAAGATTTGCTCTAAAAACTCTTGTGGAGGAGAAGGCTCTGCATGACCACACTCAGCACCCTCCACCATTCCCAACCCAAACATACAACCTGATCAACGTGGGGAACATCTACCCTTAGACCTGCAGAGCTGCTGCAGGCCCCGTCCTTCATGGGACTGGTGCCCAGCACAGAGCTTCTTCCTGCCTGCTGGTGCAAAGCCGTGTCCCCACAGGGACAGCACGTGTGTTCCCCTCACTCTGGCCATGCGGCACCTTTTAGCAGCCCGTGTGGCTCAGAGGTGCTGGGCTGCTTGTGGCCACTGGGCCTGTCCCTGGCTGACCAGCAGCGTTTCAGCTTGTTCTTCTCGGTCAGGCCTCGCTGTTGCTGACAAGACAGCCGTGATGCTGTCTCTGAAATAGCGCTGGAAGCCTGAGATAAACATGCAGCTGTTTTGCCTAATGCCAAGATTTCTCCTGGTTCTCAAATTTTAAATCCAAACAAGTATCTTTTTCTCACCGTGGTAGAAGTTTAATATTCAGTATGTTGCGCCTTTAGTACCTCTCAGCTTTGGTGGCTGGCACAAAACACCTTTCCAGACTTGCTGGAGTATTTTGTTATCCTGATTTTTCAGAATGTGCTTTTGAAAGTGAAGCTGAGGGACGAGCTAAGGAGGTGAGGGGTAACAGATATCGTAAGGCAGGTAGTCCTGCTTTTAATGTAGCTGTTTCTAATATCTTCTTTTCAACATGCAGCTTTTCCTGACTTATATTTCAGTACGCTTAGTCAATAAGTAGATGTAAATAAACCAGAGAAAACCAGAGGCTGAGAAGGTCTAGCATACACCTTCATCTCTAGCACTTTGGAGACTTGCCAGCTGACTCTAACAAACTACCACAGCACATGAAACAGTTTGTGCCCAGCCTGAAGCAGGGATCCGATGGATGCAGTTTAACTCTCCACAACTGAGCATTGTCCCCCTCCACCCAGTTATGGGCCAGAAGATGCCTGTGGGAGTCACAGGAGCCTTTGCTAAATATCCAAACCTCTGCAGGACCCAGCGGTGGGATGCTTCCTCCTTCTCCTGGAGTCAGCCTCCCCTCTAGGCATACCCAAACCTCCCTTGCTGGGTATGATTTCTCACAGGAGCTCATCAAAGTGCCCCTGAGCTCTTGCCATCGGTGTTTCCCAACGCTCCCCTGGCCGCCCGCCTGCACCCCTCACCACCCCGGTGCAGGGAGCAGGTCCCTGCTCCCCAGGGCTGCCCGGGCTGGGGCTGCCGGTGCCACTGTTGTCACTCACCTCGGACACATACGCCGCTGGGTTCGCTGCTGCCGCTTCCCTCCCGGCCTGCCAGAGATCCATCCTTTCAGGGACCTTCTTTGCTTTCTCCTCTAATGGGAAGCGCAGCAGCTGTTACTGCTAATGCCCACCACCTACGGCAGCTCTCCGCCACTGCCCAAATCCTGCCTTAATCATATTAGTTTTCCTCTTCACATCCCACCCACTTTTTCTTTTTTTTTTTTTTTTTTTTCCTTAATCCCCAAGCTTCTGCAATGAAAACAAAGGCAACTAGCAGGGGGGGCAGCAGCAAGCCGTGGGGTTTGTGTAGGACACCCTGGGACTCCTTTGCAGAGGTGCAGGGGGATGGGATTCTTGCTTGCCCCATAACTCTCCCTCCCCACACTCACCCCCACCCCCTCCATGCTGAAGCTTTGCAAAGCAAAGCCACGTCAGCTCCCTCTACTCCATGACCCCCGAGCCGTGTGCCCTGTCTCTCGCACTTACATGGGAGTTATTTTGGCAATAAAAGCAGAATTTTGTTAGAAAGGCCAGGAAGAGCCATCAACACCCCACAAACCCACCAGAGCTGGCACAGGGGACTAAATACCTAATTTGCGTGACTGTCCCTCAGCACATAAGCTGGATTTAAGTCCAGGCTGTCACCCCTGCTCCTTGCCTGAGCCACAGTGCAGCCGTGCCTGGCTGAGGAGCTGATCCTGTTCCTGGCCTTCCCAGCTCCTCCTCGGATCCACCTCATTGCTGCAGACTGCTCTGGTGATGGGGACTCTTGGCAAACCCTGGTCACTGTCACCAGGCATAGCCCGCTCCCTACCAGCAGCTTCTTGTTCACAATGGATGGAAATTAGGGTCCAATTTCTTGTCACCATTACAGCTGCCATCAGAAGATGCTGAACAGCTGAACATACTGGTGGCAGCTTGCAGCCCTGAGTAGGGCTAGAGGAACAGAGTAACAGCCCCATCGTCTGTCTGGCTTTTCTTCAGCCACCAAACTCTTTTAAGAGGCAGCGTGAGATGTCCCAGGGCCACCAGGAGGGGGGCTGGTCCTGTGGTGCAGGAAAGCTATTAAAGACAGAGGGACAAAAGGGCATTTGGTGGCCTTTAGTCCTCCTCCTCCTCAGATAAATGTGGCTGAGGGCTGAATGAGTTCATGTGGGTGCTTAGGCCACTCTCCCTGCAGGACACCACAAAGTTCTGTCCTGTCCCATGACTAAAGGAGCTGCACCAACACATAGGTGACACCACCATATTTTGTTTCTGCAACTCCAGCAGTGCCTGTATTTGATCTTGCTTGGAGCCTGACCAGTGCGGGAGTCTGTCTGGAGCAGGAACCATAGTGACCTCTGCCTGGGGTGCCCCCCGAAAGCTGGAGGCAGGCTTGGAGATGCCCCACTTATTAGTGCTGTTGCCAGCAGCCTGCCTGGCTCTACAGCCTGTCCTTAGAAGTGAAACAAGATGCTGGGCTGGTGCTGAGGTACTGCCACTAACAGCCCAGCTCTCATCTGTTTAACCAGTTTGCAAGTATGGGAACTGGTGGTACCAGGCTCTCAACAGCCTGCTCTCCTCTGCATTTGAAAGAGGCCTTATAGTCACTGAATTTCAGGATATAATGCAAGTCTTGGAGTTTTCTTTCCTTTCGTCAGTGGAAGCAGAGAGTAGTTCAGGGGAAGGGATGAAGAGTTTGCATTAGTGCTTCTATTCCAATTTGTAAATGCCCGTTCTTGATATGCAAAAGAGAGTACCTTTATGCTATATTAATGACTAACCCTTCCTGAAGCTAGCTGCTCTCTTATGGCTTTTCCTTACTAACTTATTCCTATGCTAAACTATCCCTTGCTTGCAATTCCAGCATAATAAAGCAGCAGCTCCAGACCTCTGACAGTCTGCCAGGGAAACACCAAACACGTCACAGCCATTCTGGCACAGTGGCCAGGTCTGAAAACAGCTCCAGGTAAGTGTAGGTCTTTGCATTCCAGCGTGATGTTACAGTATTACGTGGTCTTCTTCAGCTGCACGTCACGCGTTGGGCACACATTTTCATTATGCCATCTCCTGAGACGACCATTCCCCCACTGGCTTCCACCTGAAAAAGGGAGAAAAGCAGCAGAGTGCAGACCCTGAACAGCAGTGTCAGGTACTCCCTGGAGCTCTGTGCAAAGCTATGGGGAGAAGGGAGAAGAGCTTCAAATGAGACCCAGGCCCAAGCCATCTGTAACAGCAGAGGATGTACCACATTGCTGCACTGGCTCTGCTGGCTCCCCAGGCTGGTGGCAGTCTCGGGGAGGGCAGGATGTGCTGCTGGGGGGTTGCTTTATGCAGGTTTAGCAGCACCAGTCAGTAGAGCTGCAGGGTGCTGCCTGGACGCAGCATTAATTGCTGGGCTGATCTGAAATACAGCCTTACACAGAGTTCATCCTTGCTGCATGCTCTCAAGCAGAGGAACTCGGGGCCTTCAAAGCCGCACTCAAACCAAATGTCACAACCGTCTCCTCTTCAGAGATGAAAAAAAGCCTGTCACAGTCATTACCGTGACACATGCCCCTTCCAGCAGCCTCCAACTGCACGTTCGAATGCCACGTGACAGGCAGATGTTTCCCATAAGAAATACAGACCTCTCCATAGCCTCTGGTTGCATCACCCATCAGGACAGCATTGCCTCAGCCTCCTCTGGCCAGAGCTTTGACCTGCTGGAGTCACTTGAGCTCAGCCAGGCTCTGCGTAGCACTCTGACGATGGGGCCCAGACAGATGTGAGAAGACCACGTGGCACTGCT